CGGCACACTAGTGTGCCGCGGCACAGTGGTTGAAAAACACTGCTATACAGTATAAGAATCCATAGCTATCTTCACAACAATGCAACCAAATATATTTCTAAAGAGCTGAAAATTCTACCTAGGAATCATAATCTAAACCATGCAACTAGAAAATCTCTAACATAAAACAGAGCAAGGTTAAATGCAGTGTCTTTAAAATGTATATCTGAATTTATGCAATCATCAAATTCAGAGAGGTTAGAATTAAAGGCTCTTAATCATAAGCAAGAACAAAGAATGTTCAGAGCCAGTAAAAGTTTATATATGGAAAAATTCCATTCTTTATCCTTTACCTCTGAATTTCCTAAATGCATTCATTTGATCATTACTATAAATCAAATGTTGGACTAGAATCATAATACCGGGATATTAGATACTACTACTTCGACCATCAAGTCTAACTTTCTATTTTGTACAGGAGTTTAAACTAAAACCTCCAAGCCAGGTACAGTTATTTGTTCTTGCTTATGATTAATAGCCATTAATTCTAAAGTCTATTAATTTGACAATTACATAAATTCAAATATGCATTTGAAAAACAATGCATTTAATCTTGCTCCCTTTTATGTTAGAGATTTTCTAGCTCCACAGTTTAGATTATGATTCCTAGGTAGAATTTTCTTGACCTAACAAGAGACACTATGCTATTATAGTGTATATTTTTAAACAGAGTTCTCTCCATTTCCCTGGAAAGTTGGTGCAGTATTTTGCTGATGGTGAAAAATATTGAAAACTACCACAATACATGAATAAAATTTTAATGGAAGTTAGCAGGACCTTGCCAAAAGGAAAGGTAAACTGGCAATCTACAAATTCTGTAAAGAGTATATTTTGTCTAGGAGCTTACACATTTGCATATAACAGTCTATTTATTGCTAGAAATACCAATATCTCGTATTCAATACATTGATTTTAAGATCCTAAAGAATCTCCAATTTTTGCATAAGCATATTTGCACAGAAGTGTTCCCCCAAATATAACTTATTTTTTAAAAACATTCAATTCCACCATTCTATTACTAAGGTACCCAACCCAGCTAATAGTAAGACCAGCTACTAGATTATATAAAATGAAACTATGATCAATGACCAGCAACAGACATATTAATTTCATTGTGAACAATAGTTTTCACCATGTGCCAAAGTCCAAAGTTAAGACAGAAGGAAATGTCAAAGTCTAGGACCAATTATATAAAAGATGTTGTGTTATGCAGCCATTTGTTATTTTGCCTCACTACTGATGCTAATGCTAGTAATGTTAATTACTAGAAGAACTTTGAGCTGGATGTAGTTGAAGGGATACAGAGCATACAATTCATGGAAGAAAAGGGGCTAACTGAAACTGAAAAAAATAGATGCCAAAGTATCATGAATTTGAACTATCTGGACACTTGAAAGACAGCTAGAACACACAAAATTAAACCCCGTAAATAGAAGCTAATTAATATGACAAAGTACTGAAAACATATATTATAAGCAACGAACTTGAAGAACACATTGAAACTTCTGAATTATCTTCAAATGTATACTCACATAAAAGAAATGTGTAATTTACACTGGATGTCAATAAGTTTGTCATAAGAAAATATCTGACAGTATGAAACTCACCCTTCAAACTGGGATTTGGTACCTTCTCCACATATTCCTCTACAAGAACTCTTTCACCACCTGCCATTTGACTGCGGAGATCCCGCTCCACAGATTGCCATGCTGCAGAAAAGGAGAATATTAAGATAAGAAAATATTTCACATGCAGACTAAGGAAGCTCATTCTGACTGAATCAGCCACCTAAACACTAACAGTGATTCTATGCTACAAGAAATGTTTAAAAAACAAAGAAAGCATACTGTTTGCAATTAGATGACCCACTATACAGAACTTACAATGTTGGTCTATCAATCCCAAACATTAGAGCCATGTATAAAGTTTTTGACTTTTAAAGACTCTCATTTTCAGTACTTTTTCTCCACTTACTCATACCTATGTTTAAAAAAAACATAGATATGGGGGAAAAATGTCACCAATGCTTGTTAAATGGTATGGGTACATAAGTAATATACATGATAGAAGGTGGCATAATATGCCATGATCTGGCGGAAATGCAGCAAATACTTCCCACTCTGCACCTTCATAGATGAAGCGCACATTCTCCTCATGTGCAGGAGTGAAGATCTCACTGCTGTTGCTTGGGGAGCGAGGACTGCTGTTTCTCTTGCCATTGTAAACTACTCTGGAAACAGGGGAGCTAGAAAAAAAGGAGATAGGCGACAAAATTCTGATCTTTGGCAAAATTTAAAAAGCAGGACATTGTTAACTTCAGCCACTTTCCCCCAAATCTGATTACAATTCCCCTCAATCCCTATGGCCAACAGTCTGGATTGCTTGGAATTGTAATTCAAGCATTAGGTTCCAAAAGTTAACACCACTCAGGTCTTTCCAAAGGGAAAAATACCAGTATAAGCCACACATTTTTTTCTTGACTCTGTCGGTTACATGTCACTTTGCCATTTTCAATGTGCTGCGGGAATGCAGGATTTCCAAATCCAAGTTAATAATCAATCCAAGATCCAAACAATTATCCATCATCATCAGATAAGTTACACAGAACACCTCTAGCTCAACCATTTGCCTGCCTTCACCAAGAAAGAACAGCTGACTAAAAAGTCCTAAAGAAGTAATAATATATTCTACCAACATATTCGGTACCCGTACAAATTCAATTTTTATCTTTCTCACCTTGTCATGGCTGCCTCTTGCCCAGCCCTGGCTAGGTATTAGAAGGATAGGTTGGTGACACTAAAACAAAAAAGACAAAGGATAGATAGAACAAAGGCTGAGCTGACTAAGGATGGTGTCCCATTAGCTACACATGAGGGAGCAAATTACTTTAGTAACCGAGCAGGGATAAAATCCGAGCTCAGCCCTGTCATCCTAAGGCAGGCTGGATTTCAGGAATTGCTTTGCTTTGCAGACCAGAGGCATTTCAGGCATTGTTTGATCACATCGACCGTATTACACTACCACCCAAACCCCTAAATCGTGCAAAGACCCCAAGACTCCCAGATCCTCCCATAATAATCATCACCCCCATAGGAGAATCCCCCCAATGCAGGAGTTCTGCTGCTCTCTTATCTCTGCATCCTTAGCTTCGCCCACCGGACCCCGGAGAAAAGATCTAGCCTTGGCAATGGGATGCCAGCCACTACCCAGAAGGGAAAAGAAAGGAGGATCTGGAGTCCCACTTTCTTCCTTCTCCCCGCCGCCTACTACGAACTGCCAGTCCGATCGGGAGCTGGCCCGGCGCTAGGCCCACTGACCCACCAGCGAGTACCTGTGCGAGGGTCAGTTCAGCACTGCAACCGGGTCGGCACCGAGGACAAGGCGGTCAGCGCCCTTCCTTGCCTTCCCCTCCCCACCTTTTTTTGGTCCCCACCCTCCCAACTCCTTCACCTGGGCCCGGGGAGATCCCGGCCCTGACTCCGCTCGCTGCTGCCAGGCCCGGGCGGAAGAGAGCGCCTAGGCCGGGGCTGCGCGTGCGCACTGAGGGCGAGTGGGTCCGGAGAGCCCCTGCCCCGCGTAGCCGCGGGAGAGAATTTCCATGGAAACGGATTGGCGGGGCAGGGCGCGGGGAAAGGTTGCCATGGAAACGGGAGTCCGAGGCAAGCTCCGGGGAAGAAGAGCGGGTCTTGAATATGGGGAGTCGGTGGGGAAGGAGGGAGGGAGCTTTGGGGAAGAGCGTTTTGCCTTAAGTAGCGCCCAGAGGCAAACCGAGGAGGGCGGGGGGTTGGGGTTGCGGGGAGGAGGACTTGGCCAGACGTAGGCCCCCAAGGCGGATCATCAATTCACTAGGGCCATTTGGAACAAGGTAGCCTTCCAGGTGTTAAGGTGTCTCATCTTTTCAGCTTGCCCCTAGAGGAGTTTATGGGTGCAGATAAGGTGCGGTGTAAAAATAGTTCGCTGCTGGCTTCGGTCGGATATCTGGGTAGGTGACCAACCTTAGTGCTGACTAAGGTATCAGGAGGATGAGAAACGACTGTCCACGTGTACATAATACTCTTTCAGCCCAATTCAAGGTTGTGTTGGGGAAATTTTTTTATAAATATTTAAGTATATCTTTTCATGTGACAACAATGAAGAAATGACACTTGGCTACAATGTAAAGTAGTGAGTATACAGCTTACAGGGTAAATGTGCTGTCCCATCAAAATAAAGCA